GGTGAAAGTTTCTTCTGGTGTCTTCGAACGTCGGGTTTCTAACCCTTGTCTATTTGTGACGGATGTATTTGGTATTGATGGCTGTTCTGAACCATGCATTGGAGGAAGGATTTGGCATATTTCGGAAAGACATGGTTGAGGCCTATGTGCTTCCGGAGCTTATTTGAAATTGGTCAATGAGTTGAAACACGGTTTTGTGGGAGGATTTTGTTCGAAGTATCTCGGCAAAAAACTCCGCGTCGCAGTCAGCAATCATTCACGCGTTCGCTGAAGCAACATCTTGCCAAACAGAGTCGCAAGGAAGCATCACCAGGTGATCAATAGTCAAAAGGACGTCGATTTCTTGCGACGAACGTGGTGCACTTTTGTTTCCTGTTGCAACAAATATCAAAACCACAGCAGTGAGTGGTGAGTCGTGCCGTAGTTGTGTCGCGCAGGAGAACTCTTCGCGTCGATTCTGCTATTAAAAGCACCAACCCCTCAGCCGAAGTCGGGGGGGGACCACATGCTCGCTTGAAAATATGTTTATTGGTCACTTTTATTTCTTCGCCTGGCCGACGCCCGCTCACCATGAACAAGGTAGCCAACGGGACTTCTTTGTGTGATGGCACTCTCCGTAGCGCTAGGTTGTACGAGATACGCAGGAGCTCGATGGCCGGCAATAACGATGATACGGACAGACGTAGTTAAACTATTGGATGCAACAACGCAGCGGGCACGATCGGTGAGACCCGCGCTTGCCAAATATATCGCTAGAACCCTCACCTGCCTGGGCATGGTGTTAGCCTGTTCGGAAAAAAACGCGGTGAAGGAGGCCTGTTGTGGCTGGGGGCTGTTGTATGTGTCCTTCTGGAGCGTCAACGCATCTCCGAAAATATGGATGCGTTTTTATCGTTTTTTTTATTATAGCATGACCCACGAATCCATCTCTAAGAAAAGAGTCCAATGCCGTGGTCGGCCTGACCAATGGAAAATATATCGCCCAAAAGACACTCTGAAGAAATTCACCATATTTGTTTTTTCTGTCTCTTTTGAGGTCCGTCGCGGCATTGTCACATGCGCCACAAAGAAAGGCGACAGCAAGGCCTTGAGACCATTTGTGCCCCCCTAACCCAGTTCAAGATTTCCGTTACCGTTCCCATGAAGCACCGTGGAGAACAAAGTAGCCTACGCATGGTGCTCTTTGAGTTGGCGTTCTTCATGGTGCTCCACGGGAAACCGCTTTCGTGGTGCTCTATGATGATCCATTAGGCTTTTCCGTGGCGCACTATGATAACTCCTGCGAGTTTCTTTTTGTGGTGCTCCAAGCGGGACCCCCTTGTGGTGCTCGATGAAAAAAAAAACATTGCACCATACTGCACCATAGGGTTCGCCCACATTCCACAGCAGTGCTCCTTTAAACTACTGAACCTTGATAAACAACACAAATCAAAAAACAAGTCCACTACGTGGAACTTCTCGCGAATACTGGCGGTGAAAAATATTTGTTCTAACTGCGAGCATATCTAAACGGACTACTCTCTGTAGTGACCGGGATGTGCCTCAGCATCGCACGGCACGCGGAAAAACACGCACGCATGGCATATTTTTCGTCAGTCGTTCAGTGCGGTAGATTCAATAGCAATCATTTCACACCTAATCACAGACCAGACGCATATCACCACAACCAGACGCATATCGCCTGTTTATCTTGATCCGGCATGAAGAACAACATCAGCGGGCACCTGACTACTCGGTAAGGCACACCAACAAACAGGCCGACACTCTTTTGTGACTGATCAGGCGGAAAAAACACCCAGGACAGTGAATCACGCGCTGGTGAGCCGACGCGGGGATTACCATCGTACGCTCTGGAAAGCGATCGACAACACCCGCCCACCACCGACGATTGCACGCCACACATCCATTGGATTTCCACCTTCGGTCGTTACACCGGCGCTCGCTCGCCGAATCCAACCAACAGCACGGTACGCGTCCTTCAGCGCTTTACCACAGGTCCCCCCTCTCTTTCTCCGCCAACACGCGGGCGAGATCAGAGTAGGGGTCTTGGTTGACAAGGTCTTGAGAGCTCACGCCCCGCGCGTTCTTGGCGTACCTGTGCAGTAGGCGAGAAGCGCACAACAAGTTTGTTATGGTCATCGGGGTTGTGTGACGGGCAACGGCAGAGAGAACCGAGTACAGGCCCTTTCGATATACGAGAAAGGAAACCTCATTTCCGGGTTGGCATTGGCTGCAAAGCAACAGGACGAAATCTCGGTCACGACCGAGGCGGAGCGAGCTTCAGGTAGACCAGGCCCTGAAGAATGAATTGTGAAGAAAAAACAGAGCCCAAAAAAAGGAAAACAGATAGCGAGCTAGGCACCATCAGGTGGTTCACTGAGGCACCTGGGCGTGTACCGCAACGTGGCAACCAGAGTGACACACGCTCTGAGGTCAACAGCATAATCGTACGCACACGTTCTGGGAAAGCCATCAACGGTAGACGATTTAGTATGCACGTGGACATTGAGAGCATATAAACATAGTACTTGTGCGCACACGTGCTGGGAAAGAGCCCAACAGCATACTACAAAAGTACGCCCAGTTTTGGGAAAGACACCGACAGACAACTAATACGCACGTGGTACTCGCACAGAAATCAACGGTGTTGTGTTGTGTGAACAGGTTTCTACATGCGGTTGCAAATATATCAAAACGGCATACGATACAGTACGCACATGTTCGCCCCGTTGAGCAGAAGGATCGCGACAGCGCGCCTCCTGTCAGCCTCGCAGGCCGCGTGCAGGGGTGTGCGGCCACTTTTCTCGTCGGGATCCGACCAGTTCACCTCTCCCTTATGCGCGATGCACCACACTACCCTCTCCACGTCGCCGCGGGCGGCCGCCTGCAACGCCGTCGCGTACCACATCATTATCGTAGGCAGGGTCCTCAGCAGCGTTACCTTTGTGACAATCATCGTGCCACACCAAAATTATCGTTGTCATCATCGCCATCACTGCTGCCAAGGCACCATTGCTTGGCAGCAGTGCTATGATCACAGATGAATACCAAATTCATAAATGTCATCAGTATCACCACCATTACCATAATCAGATATCTTCAAATACTATACTTTACGCAATCTTCAACATGTTCATCATTGCCAAGCTTGCCGTCATCACCACGACCAACATCAAAATATTCAAGGCCATGCTAATCCCACGACGCACCAACACTGGTGATGGAATGACAGCATACACGGCAATGTACCAAGCGCCAACAACAAAGTATTCGTGTGGCAATCGATGTATATTGAACCATATAGACCATCAGCAACAAAACGGGTCTCCAGCCCAAGGAGGGGGGGGGGTGCCGTGTCAAGATTACGTGGCGAGATATTCCATGTCCTAGGATCTCCCTAGCCACGGAGCCCCCCTGAACACGCGTCCCGGGACATCACCAACCACGGACTCCCCCACTGATCACGCATCCCACGAAATCACAAACCGCGGAGCCCTCGGAGAAAAGGGCGGTGCTCTCGACGATGCTCACGTGTATCATGGCCTTGGACACGAGGGGGGCATCTCTGGTGTCGTTCCCGACGAAGCCGTACCACCGATACTTGGCGATGATCCACCTATTTCAATCACGAACAAGGGACAAATAGGCGAATTGCTCAACGACGTGCTTGATGCCGCGTTTGGCCGTTCGGAATCACGAAATCATAGCAAAATGTTGAGTGAAATACAACATAAGCAACACGCATATGCACAACGATGTGATTGGCGTTGGGTGTCGGAACCTTGGCAAACACCATCAGTACAGTACCGACTTACAACACAAGCAAACACCACGGGCAGCAAGTCAGGGCCGGCACTAGGCAAAGACGCATGAACGTACTGAATCGACCAAGACGCGGACGACAATTGGTGTCATGTTTTCGCGCGCAACTTCCGCAATGTGCACACTGTCCACCCATGCACAGGCGGCAGCAAGCAACCTCAGACGAGTGAAAAGCCTTAGTGTGCAACGTCGGCACATGGCAGTAACCGCCTCGTCCCACCAAACACCAAAGGACCATCTGGAATCAAACCACGGAACGGGTCACAAGATCAACACGAAAAAACGAGAAAAAAAAAAAAACGTAAAAGGGATTGCTATCCGAACCGCAAAAGCCATAAATGTATACCCCATAGCAGCAGCAAGCGACACTTGCTCAGCAGGCGTGACTATGAGCGAATCTAGGTAGGGGTCGGGTGTCCAGCAAGCGTGTGCCGTAGGTTGCGTAACGTAAGATACCACACACCCCGTGGACCACCCATTCTCACAGCCCGACTAGTCTGCAGCAGATCCACCAATGGCGGCGCAAGTGTTGCCGCGTCGGAACCGTCTCGTCGAGAGCTTTCCAAAAATCATGACATAGCTGCTCAACACCGTGCTTTTCGTCGTGGGAGGGAATCGGGCTCGGAACCAACCTGTCCCCGTGGGTGTGGTATTCTCTCTCGACAAGCAGTACCATCCTTACTTTTGCTCAGCTCGCGGGAGTACGAGCGATGGGCCGCGAGAATAGTAAAAGACAAAAACATGTACCATGTCATTATTTCATGTTCGACGCGAAAACGACAACACTCTCCATCTCTATGTACGGGAAGCACTAGCGAAATTGCAATGAATCAGTTCAACGTACGGGCTTGCGGACGCTTCGGGTCCATTTTTATGAAATATTTCATTCTACCTTTCGTAGCGTAAGTTCGCCTGTGACCGCAGGCATCGACCGCGTCAAGTGTTGTTATCAGTAGCACGGACAGATGAAGGGACTAGACAGAGAGGTCGGAATGGTTTTTAATGTGAAGACAACAACAACAACAACAACAACAACAACAACAACAACAACAACAACAACAACAACGGTAAGCTAGCTTTCTCACTGCTCTCTGTGTTGGGCTCCCGAGTCCGGCGTCGGCTTGGTCCATCCCGGGGAGACGTTGAACTCCCACACGCACCGCGCCCTCTCGTTCCCCAGGTCTTCTACCAGCGACTGGAGGACGAAAACACTCCACGGGTCCAGCTTCAAGGATCGCAGCGTGCTGCGGCGGCGGGTGTGCCGGATGGTTGCGAGGAGGAGGAGGAGCAGGGCAGGCCGGAGAAGAGGATCAATACCTCGTCCTCTTCATGTAACCCTATCTCCCTACCCCTAACGCTAGCCCCAACCGAAAACGTTCAGAATGAGTCGAATAACCTACACACAAGCATTGGCCCGTCTCCTGTAGCTGGCTGATTTCCAGAATGAAGTGATTTGCACATACACACACATGGGCATCATTCCAGGGACCAAAATGACGTCCAGAATGAGTTGAAGAACCAGCAAACTCTTGGGTTCATTGCAGGGATCTTGATGGTTACCCTTTTCGTTAGTCAGAAGGCTAGCGCGATCGATGCTGTCGAAGAAGATACAAATGTATAGAAAACGCACATCTGTCGTGCAGAAGCCGAAAACAGATCAAAACAGAGCGAACAGTACCAAGCACCAAGCAACCGTGCATTGCTGTTGCTGTTGCTGTTGCTGTTACCTGACCGAGCTACCCAGCGCCCTGTGGACAGTCGCGCACGCCTCGCACAGCGTGATGCCGATGTTCACGGAGGCCCACTCGATCCTCGAACTCCCGCACTCGGCGCAGCACTACACGTACATGTGGCGATGCAAGCGAAAGCGAAAGAGGCATGACGATAAAATCCAACATATTCATACATGGAAAAAACATGAGAAAAGGGCCGCCAAACAGGAAAGAACAACCAGCGGTACCTAATTGAAGAGAACGCGAAGTAGGTGAAGAAGAAAAACAAAGGGAGAGGGCCGAGGCAGGGGCGGACCCATCCATGTCTACGGAGCCCCCTCTCGCACCTCGTTGCACCTCGGCGGCAAGTTAATCATCGGGCCGGGAAAAGGTCGTTGTCGGAGCGGGGAACCTTGCTGTCCAGAACTAATCGGTTCATACATATTCCACTTCCAAGTACACAATCTCGCAACACACGTTCGCACAAAAAGTTAAGAGCGCATCGGGCATCAGCACTACCGGAGTCCTCGGCACGAAACACGCGAAAAATATACAATTCTGTTCTGGTCGCCTCCGCCATTCTTTGGGCAGGACAGTAGCGCGGTGGAAACTACCGCTTGGGGTGAGGAAAGCGACTTGTGCGTTCCAATCACGGCGAGTGTGGCCCCAACATGTCCTCCCACGCCCAAAAACAAAATGCCCGGGACACCCGCGTCAACATGTTTCGATTCCCATCGTTCTCACCGGATTCGCTTTTCTAAACCGATCCATCAGGGCTTCTGCTCGAAGCCCGATCGTCTTCCGCCCTCCCCCCGCTCTTCCGTCCGCGGTGCCCAGCAGATCAGTGGAACCCCGGGGAGAGGCATCCTCTATCCGCTGGCACCTCCGCATCGCTGCCATCCATCTTTTTTCGCTCGACACAAGTGAAAATACAACAACACAAAAAATACCGATCGAAATCGGGTGGCGGGGGGGTCGTGCATGCCGTAGTCGTTAGACCATTGACCTCGCATCCCTACAAAGCCGGGACGGAGCACGCCGGGTTCTCACCGGACCAGGATCGAAATCGAGTGCGGACGAACAAAAAAGGGTGGGGTGCCCAGGAACAATCAATGCACCGAGAATTGCTCGATTTTCTCCGAACAGTTTTTTTCTGAGGTGTTCCTTCCCGACACGAGTCCGGGCTCATTCTCCCGCAGTCACCCGCGACATTGGTCTCTCCAAAATATGTACCAGGGTGTCGCCATCTCCGGTATTCCTCTTCGACTTGGGGCAGGAAAAGGAAATGGCTTAAAAAATGGAATCGAACGATCGGAGTGCCGTCACACAGACAGGCATCAGATCATCAGGAACCAGGCCCCGGGCTGGGTGGCGCTGTACACACTCCTCGCCCTGTCCTTTTCAAGGCTGCCCTTACGCTAACGCTATTCAAGTTCTCGGATGATGCAGATGATTAAACGTGGCTCGTCATTTCCGCCGCAGAGCCAAAAAAGGGTGGTGCGCGGCTACAGAGTACAGACAGACCGCTCGGCAAAGCTCCCGCAAACATTCAACATCCATGCCAATGCATGAAGCAACAACACGTCAAAACAGGCGTGTGGAGTAGAGGGGGGCTTCACGCATGCGTCAAGAGCAACCAACCACTTACTTGAGCATCTCGTCTTCGCTCTCGGCCTGCAGCTCCAGCCTATAGCCGTCATCCCCGACCAGAAGGAAGCAGAACGGAATCTTCCCTGTCGCGCGATATCAACAGCCAAAACGTTGGAGGCAAGGAGCCGGGATAAGGGCTTGTGTTCTGCCTCAAACTGCAACCCCTTTTACCCAACACGAAAGCACCTACAGCAGCAACGACACCAAACCCCCCAACACCTACAGCAATAACATCGACACGAACACAGCAGCAGCAGCAACAACACCAACAACACCAACCACAACAACAACAACAACAACAACAACAACGGCAACGGAAACAACTATGGCAAGGTCAAGGGCACAGCAACACCAAAAGCAGTCACGGCAACAACAACACCAGTAGCAACCACCACCACCACGACCGCAACAACAATAACGCCTCACCCGGCCTCTTGGCTACCGTGGCCCCCTTGCTGAGGTCGAAGACGCACACGGGCACGTCTCCTGCGGCCGCCCTACTCAGCTCCAACGTGTAGAGCTTGGAGGCATGCAGACGGTACCAGCAACGATCCTTCCATCCAAACACATGCCTGTGTGGGTCGGCGGGGTGCGGGAGAATGTGCCACAAGGTCACTGGCGGTTGTTGTTCAATTTTTTTTGTTATTGTCCTTGTCGTTGGTAACGTTCTTGGTATTGTCATCGGTGTTGTTGTTGATGTTGTTGTTCGCTTAAACCGCCCCGACCATGCTCGTTAGAACATCCATCATGGTCTGCCACCCCAAAAGAGGGCACCCATATCCGTTGGACACAGTCCAAAAGGAAACGCGTCCAATGCCTTTTCATAATGCTGTGTTCTGTTCCTTCTCGCGATGTGCTATATTCGTTCTCGCGACGTCTCCCGTCTACTGCTACTGGCGCCGCCGCCGCCGCCGCTTGGCAGTGTTTCGCCCACCCCACCGCAGCCTTGCTCATCAAATACAAGAACAGCCCGGTGGAGCCAAATGCGCAGGTCGCGCAAGAGCGAAAGCATGCGGAGAGTCTGGGATGCTTGCACTTCCATCGTGAAGGGGTCACTGCCAGCAAGAAAAGTCGAGGCGTCCACACGAGTGAATCTGGCTATTGGCAACGAGGGAAAATATGCGACAGAACGATGCACGAGCGGATAATCACGCCGCCGGCCTAAAACCGCGCCTAACCAAGAGCAGGCGAGAGAGACAGCAAGCAAAACGCGCCTCGCTCACTTCTTCATGAGGTACCCCTGCTTGAGCACGCCCTCGTCCTTGTAGTGCATCATGTCCACCGCAGACGCCTGTGACGTGCAAGGAAGCGACGCGTGGACAGCGGGGGCGACGGGGGTACCATAAAAACTGACGGAGGGGGGGTGGGGTGTCCAATAGTAGCAAGCATTGTTCCCGGCGCAGGGGCGTGGGTAAAAATACAACAAACAGACGGTCTCTCTCAAAAAACAAACGAGGGTGAGAAGGCTAGTTCCTTCAGCCAGGCCCATTTCAAGCCAGGCTAATGGCTACCCGTCTCAAAACCATCGCCGCAGACACCATCCCTTCGCGGGGGTGGACGCATGCAAGGCACGACACCCCTTCTCCAACTACGCGCCCTTTTCAGCGACAACTCGCCCCTCTCTGACCTCTTGGCTAGCGGCCGACAGCACCTCCGTCGTCAGCTCCGCGACGTACACGGGACAGGCCGCCCGGGGGTTGATGGGCGCTCGAGCGCCGGGAGGCGCCCCGGGGGGCGGCAACGCCCCCTGCAACTCCGCCTGGAGGAATGAATGCCATTCGTGGGGGGGGGGGGGGGTACTCCTGTTTGGAATGGCTTTGATGTTGAAGCCATTGACCACACGTCCTCGACGCAGGTCTGCAGAGTAAGGCCTGTCGTCTAGACAGGGGTGCCATCTGGTACGGTACGTAGCGCTGCAGAAAGGCGGCGGCCCATGGGTCAAGCGAGGCCACCACCAAGAGGGAACGGCCTGGGAGTGTGCCAGCGTAGAGAAAATCAGCTTCGCGTATTGCCACATCACATCACATCACATCACAGATATCTTTAGTCTCTGGGGGGGCGCATTCGTGTTTGGGACGCCTTAGCTGCTACAACATGGATCACTTGTCTCTCGAGAGGATGGAGATTTGTTCCCACACGACGAATCGCCGACGGCCAATCGTTCCTTCCTACGGAATACTTTACAACATAAGGTCGTCCGTGTAGAAGAGCCATTTGGTACAATATGAAGTGCGGCAAACATAGAGGAGAAGAAGAGACGAATAATTCAACCTTGAAATTCCTGTTCCATCAGCACTGCTGGTGTAGGCGAGAGGCATCAACGAAAGCCGGCACGGAGAAACAGGCAACACCCGGGCCATCTCCAGGCGAGCGAGAGCGCACCCACAACTTTGCACAAGCACCGATCGCGTTCCAAATTTTTCGGGGAAGCGTTGATGACCGCACGAAAGAGATCATTGGCGGACTAAACCTCTCGCTCTAGATAGAAGCAAATAGCACTTGCACGCAAGCGCGGGGGAAGCCTACCGAGCACCGGCACCTGTATGTGGTGCTCTAATCGCTGGAAAAAAAATAGGTTCTACTTCTAGATAGCAGCATGAGTGAGCGCCAGACAACCAGACATCAATAGCAGCAAAGAGCGCATGCAGGACGCACACTTGGGCCCATGCACCCTGGTTATTTGGTGCCGTAATCGCTGCCAAAACCCCAACGCTTTAGTTGGCAAGCAGTCGCAGATCCATCGACTGCCAGCCACCTCAAAAACAACGTATGCATTTTACCTCCAGGCGAGAGCGGACGTAGGCCCACAGGGCGTTATCCCGGTCGTGTCTCTTGTTCATTCCGTCCAGCACCACTTGTCGCCGACGCATCGACTTTTCCATCTCCCCGCAGATTGACCCTCCCCCTTGGAAGAACGCCAGCAGCGCTGCGTGTTGACCCCCCCCCCCCCCCGACGTGGATCAACACGATTTCAGGTGTAAGGCTCTTTCTTGTGATATCCATTGTGCCTCTTAATACATTTTTTTTTTTTTTTTTCAGGTTCCATCGGCGGTTTCTGTGGATTTTTGTGGCGCTGAATATGAAAAACACAAAATATTGACTGCCGAGGAAAACATGGACGAAAGAACAACGGGCTTCAAAACAGAAACACACTCTAACACCATGAAGGTGCCACACCGCCAGCACGTTGCTGTATCGGCGCAGACCTTGCAGGCCAACTGGTTCACCGTCGAAAATACGTTGCTCGCAGCGACAAAAAAAGGGGAAGGGGATCCGGCCCGCGAAGTTCCCCACCATGTGCGTGAGTGTGTGAGTGTGTTCGCGTGTTTCACAACGTCGACCGCGCTAACGAGCAGACCAGTGCGGCCAAAGCAGCAAAAACTTCAAAAGGCCATGATCTGGGAACCTGTAATGGGAGAGGCTAGACTCCTCTCCGGATAGTGTGCGGCTAAAGCAGAAAAAACTTCAAAAGGGCATGATCAGAAACGGTAGCAACAGTGTGTTTTGTTTCTCAACATCGACCACGAGAAGCGGCTTGCCTGCCAATGAAAGAGTCTCGAAAACAAAAACACCAACGTTATTGCTACATAGCGGGCACCCCGGTGGTGATGTACTACCCACCACCATTCCCACGGAACGTACCGTAAAAGGTGTTGTTTATCCCGGTCTCCAGGAGGAGCACCTTCTTCGAGTCCAGCTGGTTCATGTAGCGAACCACATCGAACCTGAACAGCTCGAAGTCCCACCTGATGAGCGTCGATGCACGCACGGATCATTCGCAAAAACTGTACACAATTTTGGAGACACTATACGAAGGACAAATAATTGATGCAGTGTTTCCATTACCTGGACCGAAATTTAATCGGCTACGGGGTGGATATCGCTGTTTGCTGCTGGGAGGCATGACGTTCAACCAACAACGCGTGAAAGTTCATTTTGAAGGTCATTGAACGTGGTTTTCACTCGTTGATGTTCTTTGCGGTCCGGATTGCTGTCGTTGTGGCTTTCAAGTTGAATGAGATGGTTGCCAAACACCCTACAGTGTGCTGCGCATTGCAAGAAACAAAAAAATAACATCCGAGACGAGCGCATGATGCTGCAGGGAAAAAACGCGACAAGCGAAGGAATCGGGCAATTTGATTTGTGCACATGGCCTGTGATTTCTCACCGCATTCACACCTGGATGGAATTCCTTACCACATCAACGTTTTGTTTAGCCAACTACTACGTTTATTTAGGTAGCGGCTTGCTCTTGTTCCAGGTCCCAGCAAAAAATATCTACTCAAAATCCGTGGTGCGCGGCATCACGATGCTACCCTGTTGCTATCGTTTTCCTGCTCGTGCAATAAAAATTGTTGGTTGGGCCACTTGTAAGCTTGCCAGTAGCAGCAGACGCTGTTCGTGGTGAGCGCGATTCTTGCTGCATGGCACCACACAAAGGAGCGCACCACAATAGATGAACTTGCACTTATCAATCTGGCCCGGTCGTCTCAGTCGATCATCCCCAAAAACGAGCATCCTGCGAAAGCTAGCGGGGGTGAGTTTGAAAAGCGCTTCAGACTGCGGTGCCCCTCGTTGGGCTCCCCCGGGTCTGCCAGTACGCACGGGTAAGTGTCTGCTTGCAAGCTACGCCGCGACCACGACCCTCTAAACAAACAGCACCCTTTTTTTTCCTTCCGTGCGACCAACGCCGTGTGCTGCATGCATCGTGTGCGACAGGGCACCAACAAACCAGAGGTATCGTTGTCGGAACGAACGAAATACAAGTGGTCGCCAAAACACAAATCGCCAAGCAAAACAGCCTTGAGTAAAAACCTCTCTTGAGGCAAATAATTCAATCAGACAGAGGTTACGTTGAAAATGCAGCCGAACGCATGCCATGCGTCCACCGCACCTCGCCCTGGCAGCCTTGTCGTGGATCGGTCCGTCCGTCGGCAGCTCCCTCTGGTCCAGCGCCTTGGACAGCGTGCTCTCGTACTCGCGACCTCTGCGAAACAAAAGAAATCCAACAAACACAGGTATGTAGGGTCAGTTGGCTTCCAAAAAATACGCATCATCCTCTCTGAACCTGAGGAGCCGTAAAAGAGTCGGGGACATGACACAACTCAATGCACCACACACGCACAATGGCCGGCGAGCTAGCGCGTCAGCCGAAGCCAGTTGCGAGAAGACAAGAAGACAGCAATCATCCGTTCACAGGCGGGAGCTCCAAGAACATACAGCAAAAACAAGCAGGGAAGCGAGTTTATTGAAAATAAAGCATGCGCTCGGATCAGGGCGTGTGGCAGAGCCTCGGTTTTTGCACGTGTTCGCAGACGCGCGGATGGATACACGCCATGTTTGCGGATTTGTAACAAAGTCAGTTTGTGAACGAAACAAGTTGCCGGTCTGCTTGACAATCGCCACAACAACAAAAAAAAAGGAAAAATAAATAAATAAACAGGTCTGCAGCAGTGACGGAATGGGGATGGTCCACAAAAAAACAGTCGGCAGCAGCAACCAGCTATTAGAGATCGAGGCTCGCCCCGCAACCAGCGTTCCTTCTTGTAGCCCGATCCTTTCTAATGTTGGGGAGGGCTCCTTTTAAGGCTCCAATCAGGGCGCAGTCGTCCGAAGCGCTCAGCTTTTCGTCAGTGGACCAAGACCTACGTGGTGTTGTCGTAGTCGAGACGTTATTGTTACGATGGTCACCTGGTGTCGAGCTCGTCGGCAAGGTCGTCAAGATCCCTGAAGCCTTCGTTGAAGGTGTATAGGGGTGCTGCCAGACCGGACTTGACGCTATCACTGCGGATGGAAAGGTCGCCAGAGAAAAAAGGGGGAAATGCTTGTTTATCTACAGTGTCCCGGTTCTCAAGGGCAGCAATAAAAAAAGTGAAGTAAGCAATGACGACGACGACAACAACAAAGAAGACATCGATACAATCGTGAGCAACACACAGAACTGACTGCGATTATGGTGGCCACAAAAAAACGGCAAACAATCGCAACATACACAACACATGTAACCGGCGGAGTTAGGTAAACACCAGCAAAAAGAAAGTTTGCGGAGAGCTTTCACCATGCTACCCTCTCATCTGCCAACACGACCACACACACCACGATGAAAAAACAGAAACGAATATTAAGAAAAAAAAACTTACACGAGGAGGGCGACAAGTTCGTGGACTTGCTTGAGCGCCGTGGTGAAGCTGGACATGTTTGCCGCTAGGTCTCCTATCCCCTCCGCGATGAAGTTGTTGCTGAACATCACCCTGCCAGGAACGCATCCGCGACAGCGAACGGGTACATCGTGAGACACAGACAGCAGAGACGCACCGGCTCAAGCAAGGGGCGAGCGGCCAACAAAGTCTGCGACAGAGGACCGTTCCACAACCAAGGTAGAGAGGGATTGGCCTCGTCCTAGTAAGGACTTCTTTGACACCTTTTGACACCTTCTCGAACGTATCCAAATAAAATTCGCGAAGCTTTGCACACGTCTTGACAACATCGACAACAAAAACGAACGTTGCAGAAACAACGGGCCAGCGCAACACACGTCCACAAGTCTCCAACATATTACTACTACAGAGAAAATGTTGACGTTGACTCTCTTGGTTTGCAGGCAGCGCAGCATACACCCACAAGACTCGAATATATGTACATGTATCGTTTTGCCTGTTTTCGTGTTTCGGGACATATTTCGCCGGAGGAAGTCAATCGTTTCTCACGCTTCCTTCTCAGGGGCACGCAGGGGGGTCGTCGGTACAACACCGCGCACGCCCGAGGACTGCCAGTCACCGGTGACGCGTGTGCTCAACGCCCAAAGTTGAACAAACTGGAACTATACCCCGGGGACAATGTTCCGCTTAATAAATCCTTCGCAGGAATAACAAAAATTATTATTCATCCGCACAAGGGGGCCGTTTTGACGTTGTCTCTCCTAGCACACACGTTCCCCACACCGTGAGCAACGCGGTACAAAACACAAGACGGAGAGAGAGAGCGAGAGAGCGAGAGCAGCGGGTTACGGCAGTACGATCTGCCGCAAAGATGCCGCTACCCTATCGTGTGTGTGCTTGAGACTCACCGCCCCAACTGCTACACAGCGGACAACACGGACAATAGGCAACGACACCGGTTCCAATTGATTCCCAATTATCCGCCGGGGTAAATCGCAAGAGGAAATGTCTTTACCCGGACTGGTCACAGAGAACTGCGCAGAAGCCTCCGAGCGATGACCGTACAACTACACAAACGCCCGCCGACAAGAATGAAGTAGTTGACGAACACAGCAGCAGTCCGTGTCACAGTAGGTATGCATATGTAGTAGGATCTACGGCAAAGACACAGCGAGCACACGCGAACAGTCTCACGGTAAGAACAAAAGATTCCCCGCAAATTGATGCGAGGTATATTCTGCAGTTTTTACCGAAGCCAACCGTGGCACTACCGAAGGTTGCGATCTACAACGATGCAACCATGAGAGCAGTGGCCATGTGCTCTTGCATCGCCCCCGGCACGCAAGCGCACCTACCGTCTATGAAACAAGATAACACACCCCCTGGACCAATTTCAAAGCTCGATTACCCCATGACGAACAAGATGCATAAACGAAACGATACGTTTTCTGAGAGCTCTCGACCAGACGGCTGCAACGCTGCCGTTTTCGGCGCCGTGACTCTTTCTGCTGCTGATAAATCGAGCTTTGAAAAACAGTCTAAGGGGTGTGTTATCTTGTGCATTTTACGGTAACCTCCCGACCGAGAGCCTCCTACTATGTATTTACTTCGAGAGAGGTCTTTTGACTTTGGGTGCGCACAGGTTTATCTCACCTCGACGCCTCCTTGCTGTACAACTCCTCAGCTAGGGAAACGCCCTTCTGACGGAACTCCTCCCCCGCCTGCCAAGTAGCCCCCCAACAAAAGAAAGCGATAGGCAGAAAGGAACACGCATATTGCTGGGGGTAAGCACGGGCAATGAGTGATAGTCCAACGTCATCTTCCTTCTACATAATTGGAAACGACCTACAGTACGTACGGGCGGTCTATTCTTGTGTGGTGTGCGGCAATATTTTCGATAATATTGACAATTCCAGCGCGCCAAACTGAGTACCACACCCACCTATGCGTGGACAACGCGAAACTCACGGCATCCCGTACAAAAATCTCTCCCTTTGCACTGCAGAAGTGTCTAACATAAATACACTGGCACCCACGTGAAACCAAAGCCCACAAAATACAAAAAACAAAACGCTATGACCAAACAAAAAAAATAGTACCATACACCAAAAACCTGTCATCCCATGGATGGTACCGAATAGTGCCAAACAAATGCCCGGAGCAATGGCAGCAACGAGCAACGCACCGCACCTGGCAGTACTCGTCAGCGCGCGTTAGAATCCTCGTCGTGTGCCCCTGCAGCGGCTTGAGCGTATCCTGGAATGCCCACATGCGTTTTCGGAACATCGGGCTGTCCCTAGAATACTCCAAAGCCGCGTTGCGCCCGAGAGTCTTCGACCACGGCTCTGCTCGGCATAAAAGAAAACGCGCACTGACTCAAGGGAGTGAGTGTTTCGAATACAAAAATTACGCGCTACAAATGTACAGAGAGCTAAAAGGCGATTAGGCTCAACCATCGACACAGATACTCCCTAAATAATCCTACACGGAATCAATATAGTCGATATCGGGATTCCCCGACGGAGAAATAAGTACCGAGCCTCGTGCCGAGTAAAGGTCCTAATGATGTGCGCGTGCCACATTGTACGGAGCACGAGCAGGGGCTGTCAAACCGTAAACGGCAGTACGAGACAAGCGCATAAAGCCGAGTAGCCGCAATATGAACATGGCATGTGCGCTCGGATGTTAGGCTTCAGGAACACGTTGGCGTAGACAAGAACATTGTTCGCTCTGCATGCGTGGCAAATTATTCCCATGTGCACAGCAGTTTCTTGTTCCTACAAATCGACAGAGAGAAAAACCGCCCACTCGAACGGAATGAACGGCGCCAATAAATTCTGCTGGTGTGTCCTGCGCGGATAGATATTGGGAGACGCAAGCAGGGAGGCCAGCAGCTGCCTCTTGGGAAGCAGAACAATCCAACACGTCGTGTGAAAGACAATGCATACAACTGCCGAGGAGTACAACATGTGTGTGTCTTACCATCTTTGAATCGACCGCGCCAACCGGCTGACCAACTAGTGTCAGCGTGGGTGTTTCCGTCCCATGTATTCTGGCACCAATCTAAATACACACCTCTCGGTGTATGTGTTCAACATCGATATTACGGGGCCACACAGGAAGAAATCACCCACAAGTTTTTTTTTTTTTTTTCTAATAGAAGTACGACCCAACGACTCCATCTCATCACGTCAGCGAAGGCTATCTTTATTTCCACGATTTCCCGAGCAGCACACAGCGATATTTCCCCTGTGGTGAACACAGGCTGACAGTTTGGTAGCCATCTTGTGCATCTCTCTGTATGTTCTGCTGGGAAGGTGTAGAAGGACAGTGTTGGGTGTAGTTGGTTCGTGGGGTGTGCTGGTAGTGCACCCTGAAGGAAAGCACAGCACACACACGAAAACGTTTTACTTCCTGTTTTCCGCGCGTTGATCCCTGGCTGGAGGCGCGTGGTTGTGGCGTCATGGTGTCTGCATAAATAACGTAAATTCTCCAACTTGGCATACGTTTGGCGAATAATTTGGTGCGGGGAAACGTTTAGACTTTCTTCTCGGGCCATTGGTGCACATGAGGCATACCTCTCTCTTTGAATGCATTCGCAAGTGTGATGGAAGAGGTTGAGTTGTTTGTGGGACAAAGGCCCCTTTTCGTCTTTTGGGCTCTTGCTTACGCCGACAAGTTTCGGTACCCAACGCGCCCCACCGCTGATTGTCATTTGTGCCACACAGCACCAGTCGGGGGGCGTGCATGTGGGGCAGGCACAAGAAAAAAAAAAGTCTGCCACACCCACAACCATAAGCACAGCAAGGCACAGACCTTTTTTGCGGAACAAATGGCGAGCGGCAACCACGTCACAGCAGTGCTTGTGCACATACTCACCGGTGTAGTTAACGTTGCTGGGAGCCTCGCCATCGAGACTGCTGCTGCTGCTGTCATCGCTATTTTTCCTTCCGGGCTGCTGCTGCTGCTGCTGCTGCTGCTGCTGCTGCTGCTGCTGCCCATCAGTCCTCCCACAAGCTGCTGCGGCGGCGGCGGAAGCACGGCCTCCTCTTTTCGTCTTCTTGAAAAACTCGAAGTAGTACTCCAGCTCCTCCTCCGTCTCTCGCAAGCGGTTCTCCAGCTCAAACACCCGGGACTTGAGCAGGTCCCGCTCTTCAACAACCTCCGTGAGGTTGAGTGTATCATCAGCAGCAGCAGTTTTGTCCGCACCGCCGCCGCTGCTGTGTACACCGCTGCTGCTGCCGTTTATTGCCTGTGATGTCGGCTTGCCCGGTGGCACCGACATGTGTCGGGTTGGCTTCCCGAGGCTGCGAGCGGCCTATACGTAGCAGCCCAACTAGTCGGGTAGTGAGCAGTGACCCCCCACTGATGGGCAATGAAGCACACAGAGCGGCAGCTTATGCGTTGTGCTTACCTACCTCAGAGATGAAAAGCCCCGAGAGAGCCTCCCGCACGGAAAGTTGCCCCTCGGGAACGCGGGCCAACTTTACGCAGATGAAAACTCGGCTACAAAGCCTGCCGCCGCACGCCGGTGCTAGGAGATAAAACTCATCAAATACTCTTAGAGAGGGATGCGAAGAAGCTGCGGGGGCATGTGGCAGGGCTCACTGGACGCCGAAACATGGAGTTTGGTGTCATTCTTCCTGCCTCCTGCCCCCCATTTTTCGAAAACCCCAAAAATTGTGAACCAAAAATATGGCTTGGAGACCCCGGGGACACAAACATTCTATCCCCTGGAAAGCTGCGTGCGTTTTCGCTCGCTTTGCCTTCTTGTGTTTGAGAAAGAGGGAGCAGATACTACTGCAGCAGGCACGCGTTCATGGCAGAGGGGTAAGTGAGGTGATCGTAGAACTCGTGTGAGCTGCTGACTTTGCTACGGTAGCGAAACATTATTGAGTGTCTCGATTGTTGTGCGCCAATTTATACCATCTTCGCACGAGCTAAACCAGCTCTTTCCAGAGAGCGAACCTGTCACAGCAGCGTTGTATGGCGCCAGCTCTTGACTGCACTTTTTCGAACACCGATGTAGCGGCAGCTTGCGTCCAGCAAAATGTGTTGATCACTTCGCTTGTCGTGGTGCCGTTACGGGCATCTTAACGTTGTGCAAGTAGGTCCGGAGCACGCGCACGCACAGAATCTGTACTTGTTGCTGAGGTTGTACGAAACCGTTACGGATCAAGAACGATGTGTGTGCTACATCAACTTGTAAGAAGTACAGAAGAAGCTGTTGCTGCGCTCCGCGATGTGGACAATATACGGTTTATCTCGTATCTCTTACGTCCGCCTTCCGCACACAGTTCCGGTCACGAATGGGGGCGACGTTCAGCCCCACACATATATAGCAGCACTGCTTTGCACTCATGTTGGAAGGATACAGCACAGAGCGCGCCAGTTCAGAACTTGAACCGTAGGAAATAAGCGATCTGTCCAAGAAGGCTACACTAAGACCTATACAGTCGCCGTGGGGATACAGTATTCCATAGACAAAAAGAAGGAATGAGCCTCGGTCAAAATCAGAGATTCTTGGGTGGCGTGTTCTGTACTTTAAAGAGAACGGCCTCCCAATGAAGGAACTCAAGTTCGGGGTCGAGGTTCAATTTCTTGTGACGTCATCACCGTCGAGCATAGTCGAGGAAAACATATGGAGTTTAGTGTAGTATCCACCTCTGACCTGTTGTACCTCTGTTTTTGAAACCCCGTTCACTATTTTGTTGTCGCGAGAAGGTGAGCCTCTACTAGGAAAGGAGTGCGGTCCTCAATTGCGGTCCATTCTGTATGCCTACAGCAGTAGCGATGCATGCATCTCAGGGTGGGATCGCATCTACCTCGTACAACGTTACGCGCCTATGTTCGGCCACAACACGTGCGTCACCACCCCCTTCTTACAAAATCCGCGCCTCCTCTCAATCCTTGTGTTAGGAGGTGATATCACAACAATACCGCAACAGCAACAAACTGCCCAACCGCTGAGCTACGCAGAAGACCAGAGATACCGTACAACTACTATACGCTTGGACGACGTCAATACCATGGAGAGCCGCGCGTACAATGTCTTGGACGGGATGGGGGAGGCCATGCTCGCTCTCGCGAGGAGGCACTCCACTCCGCAGCAGTGGGCCGCCTGGCTCAAGGTGCGTCAACGAACACTGGCAGTGTTACCGGTACATCACTGTGCCCGCACGCCAGGCCTGGTTGTACTACCGGATTGCAGGACTACGTAGTCAGGCAGGGATTGACAATTGGGGCGCATGTTGAAGAAATGAAGGCTTGCTCTTCGCCTTGAAAGGCCGTCAGGTATCGCAGAGCCACTTCGTGGGGAAATTTAGTCTGGTGTTCGGGAGCACCGTAGGTCAAAACGGGGTCTTCTGTAGGTACCTCCGGCCCTCTTCCGAATGGGGGCTTTAGTCAAAATTCGGATAAACCCACGCCTTTCCGGTGTCGCATTGAGTGCTTTCCATGCGGCATTACCATGCGCCCAGCGACCACTGCCTATGTGTGTGCCAACTCGGATACCTTCAACCTATGTGTCGTTTTTCTGTTCCCTGAGCATGGCTACTGCTGTAGCGCTACCGTTGCCTCATGTCACGTGTTCTTTCAACGCCCTACGCAGTAGCAGTATCTGTATCTGTTTGCCCCAGGCTTCTGTCGGTCGTGGGCACCCTTAACCACTCTCCAGCCTTCCCTGAACTGCATGGATTTCTCTTGCTGGGGTGCTACAGGTAGAATATCGCCGTTCAACAAATATTTTTTTCTGCTCACAAAAGTCTCATCATGAGAAGTACTTTTTTCTGCCCTCAACAGTCTCTTACTACGTGTTTCTGCTTTTACCTGTAGATGCCTCTCAATGCAGCCGACCCCGCTTTAAGGACACCCATGTTTTTGTTTCGTTCAAAGTGTCCTAAATGCGGGGAAGTGTCCTTAAGGCCGGTACCCCCCCCCTCTATTTCTATATCTGTCGGGCGCTCTGCTTCTGAGATGTTTTTTGTCCTTCAAGCGGGCAGTGCCAGATGGGTGTCCTTATTTAAGCGGGGACGATTGTATGTGTTTCTGCTCCCAGGTGCCTCTTCAGGGGGCCTGTCGTGAAGGGGACATAGACATGGTGTCCACGCTGCTAAAGGCCGGCGCGGCGAGCTCTGGTGAGCGGGAAAGGGATGGGGAGACACCCCTGCACGCGGCGGCGGCGGGAGGAAGGTGCGCGTAATTTTATCCCAGGTGTTGGTGCTGGCGGGTGTTGCGCACGCTCCGTTCTTCCACCCACTGGTGGTGCAGGCGGGGGGTCGTGCAAGCCGTAGTCGTTCGACCATTGACCTCGCATCCCTACACAGCCGGGACGTAGCACGCCGGGTTCTCACCGGACCAGGCTCTCACGTCACCAAGAGCGAAGCGCCGTGAGGTATTCGTTGCAAGGGAGGGTGCGCTGCATCCTGGCAAGGCTGTGCAGGGGAGGGAGAACAATATGCACCCGCACTTTGAGTATCTTTTGAGGCACGTATGCTGTTTTTTTTAGCGGGTCAGGCTCTGTTCATTTGTGGCGGTGATGCAGAAGAATGGAAAGTATTTGCCGTAGGGTACTGCCGTAGCTGATGTCGGCTCTTGTTGCAGGTTTTTTCGCATAGTGACCGATGCGCGTGCCCTCTGCCCATAGCCGCAGCCTCGGTGCTCCCGGGCTGATCAGCTCGATAATGGGCGAGTTCCATGCCCCCTCGCTTGCACGAGTATGGCGCAAAGAAAATCGTATTGTGTTTGTGACCACGGGTTAGAGTAAACGGCACAAGTGCTGTGAGCGCCGATTTGAAGTCAAGAAAAAAAAAAAATTCTCTCCAGGTGCACTGGTACTTGTGTCGGTACTGATGCGGGAGATAGAAGATTCCGACATTGCTAGTGGATGGCTAGTACGCGGCTGTTGATTTTCCCATCTACAACGGCGGCGCATTCGATTGCGTTTCCCGCCTTCATTTACATGGTCGGAGCCTCCTTGTGCTCTAAGATGTTGTCCCACATGCGTGCGTGTTAGTGTTGCACTGAATAGCGCTGTTTCTGTTGAAGGCAACTCTCTTCACGGCAGGTTTACGTGCCACATGTCGGCGTATTGCCTGCTTGTCACGCTACCTTGATTCGAGGCAGACAGCATCGATAGATAGAACGGTTCTCGGTTCCCATCAATACCGTTCTGCTGAGGAGTCCACACGCGAAAAAGTTGCCGACCTTTTATCGAGATGAAGGTTGAGGGCAAGCAGCTCAAGGGGACCTCCTTGTTAGTGACCCCATGCTGGTACGAAAGGGTTCCCTGTTTAGTTGTGCCAAAACCCCGGGCACAGTGCCAGTGTTTTCGGCGGGCACACTCTAAATTTCTTGAATAATGCCGGTTCGGTGAAGTGCCGGTAAATTTTCTGGGAACATACTGGCACTAAACAGGAACCCCCACTGTACACCGAAAGCAGCACGACACGCTTAGTCCAGGCGATGGGATAGAGAAGCCTCGACGCCACGGCACACCGTCTACTATTCCTCGTCGATAGCAGCGTCTTGTGCCCTTGCAGCTGCCGCGAGCTCCCGCTGTATCTTTCTGAAACGACTGTTTCATCGCCTCCATCTCTTTTGGCCTTCTTTGGCCGACACAACAGCCTGGACGTAGTCATGGCTTTGCTCAGGGAAGGGCGAGCGAGGCGGGACGTGAACAAGGTCACGCGCTCGCTGCTCCATACGCCGCTGCACTGCGCCGCGTTGCACGGGCACGCCGACATTGCCCTGGCGCTGTTGAGGGCGGGGGCAGATGTTGACCTTCCGGACACCCACGGTAAGAGGTTGGACCGCCGTTATCGCCGATGTTGCGTCTTGTTTGTTTGTGGTGACGACGTCGTCGTTGTCACTGTTCTTGTTGATGGCTTGTTATACTTCTGTTGCTGCTGCTGCTTGCTGCTGTTGTTGTTGTTCAGGGCAACAGGTGGTGGTTTCTGTTGTTGCTGTTTTGCGGCGGTTGTTTGTTCACGGCAATAGTGGTGTTGCGTTTCGCTTAGTAGCGTTGTTTCTGGCTCTTTGTTGCGGGCGTGTGTGGTGTCGTCGTGGTCGTTGATGTTGTTTTCGCAAGTTAGATTTGTCGTCATCACAGCACACCGTTGCTTCCTGTGATTTTGCCGCTACACTTGAAATTGAGTCGGATCTCTTCCACACGCTGTGTCGGTCCAAATGATCAAAAACAGAGGCTACCAAGAGTGTCCCAGCCCGTTGATCCGCGCCGGTGTGGCGCCCTTAGTGATGCCAATGCGGCACAGCCAGCCACCAGGCTCTGGGAGTTTGTGGCGCAGGTCAAGGACTGAGTTCATTTGTTGTTTTGGCGGTGCACCGGCTACCTGAGGTGTATCTGAACAATCTTGAACTCGAAATCAAACCATTAGGCTGTGCGATATATCTGCGGACTGTGCGATGTGACTCGCAAAAGCTTACCGTACTCCCCGCCTGGCCTAGCCTTTAACCGTGCCGATATCGGCGGCGTATCGCGTCGCCCTCTTGGCACCAGGCGGCACAGAACGAACACATGTTACGTAGGAGAACTTGCGCTGTCCACCCACGCCGAGAGCGGAAGCAGAGGGCAAGAGGAACGGGCGCACACACGCAGGTCTTATGATGGACCAATGACTAAAGTCTGACACACGCCTGTTTTTGGGGGGTGATGATTGCAGGGTGGACCCCACTCATGTGCGCCTCCAGCAATGGGAGCACCGAGCTGGTGAGCAATCTCTTGCTCAACGGCGCCTCGCCGAAAACGAAGGATAATTGGGGATGCCGCCCTCTGCACCGCGCGGTGCCAGCCGGGAATCTCGGGGCCATCAGGCTTCTGCTCAAGGCCGGGGCTTCACCGAACTCCCGCAGGAGGGTGGGTAAAGGGAAAGAAAACACGGACGGTGGTCATCTCTTAAGTCGCAGGCGGGGGGGGTACGAAGGATGATGGTTGACTTGATCAAGCTTTCAGCCACTATAATGAAGAGTGATCAGTCCTTGGTGGGGATGTGTAAGATTCAATTTGTTTTTTTGTTCCCACAAAGGCATTGGACGCCCTTCCTCCCAAACCCCGTTACCCCTGTCGAGAGAACGCCGGGTACAGACGTGCAGACCGACACCCCCCCCCCCCCCCCCCCTTTGCGTCTAACCCTCCCCCCTTATTCC